TTACGGTTTCAAGTTCAGGGTTTCGGCGGGTTTCGGGTTCAGGGCTTCGGATGTAGGGTTTCAAGTTCAGGGTTCAGGGTTCAGGGTTTAGGATTTCAAGTCCAGGGTTGTAGGGTTGAGGGTCTCTTAGGGATGATAGCAACGAAAGAATTGAAACTTGCTTCCAAGTACCCCCCAAGAAACGGCACGGCCTTGCCTTTGACCTTGGCCTCGATACAGTGCCGGAGGTTGCTCAACCCCGCCTGAGGGACAGGGTGGTCGGCAGCTACCACCTAGGTTCTTGGGAGTTCGAGGAGTTAGTTTCAGAACTTGGGCCCGAAACCCTAAGCTCCAAGCCCTAAGAAAGTTCACAGATGTCGAGTTTAGGCGGTCCGAGGCGACCTTTGACATTTTGTTCACAGCGGTTGCGCGCCTGGATCGTCATGTGATTCTTCTTGGCAGCTACGTCCAAACCTGGAGGTCCATCGTGGACTTCAGGGACAGACATTCGAGCTCTAGGGGTGTAGGGCTTAAAGGGGTTTAAGGAATTCTCTGGGGGGTTCAGACAAACTCGGCACGCCCTTTTTGGGGTCCTGAGGTTCGGGGTCTCGAAAGGAAGATCAGGGTCCCTGGATTTCTGCAGAGCTCGAGGGCTTTACGGTTTAGGGTTTAGGGTTTAGGGCCTGTCTGTCAACCCCAAGGTCGAACCCTGAAGCTAAAAAGCTCAGAGAAAGTAATGTAGGGGCCTAAATAACTGCCTATATCATTTTGGCGGTTCCTTCTTGTAATCATAGGCCCCAGAACCCTGTTCTAAAGATTAAGGCCCCTCTAGCATCAACACTGAGTCAGCACCCGAAACCCTCAACCCCAAAGCCTCAACCCGACACGCAACGTCCCAGCGCTAATCCCCAAGCCCCTAAACCCTAAGCCCTAATCCCTAAACCCCAATCATCCCTAAACCCTTATCCGTCATCCCTAAACCCTCATACCTAATCCCTAAACCCCAAACCCCTCAACCTTAAGCCCTCAACCCATTCAACTTCAGGGACCTTCGTGCACTAATCCCTAGACCCTAATCCCTATTCAACTCTAAACCCCCGCAGCCCTGATCCCAAAACCCCAAACCCCTCAACCACTGTGTGGTGCTTAGTAGGGAATGCGGGAATGGGTTATAGGGACTACTATAAGGGACCCTAAGGGACTATCATAGGAATCCATTCCCCCATTCCCTACTAAGCACCAGACAGACCAACTCCAGGGACCTTCGTCCATCTTCTCGCAGCCGGCGAGGTCCGCCAAGTCCAGCACGGCACTCAGCGCGGCACCGCCGGACGTGAACCGGATATTCCTGAATGCCGCGAGGCCCCCTAAACAGAAAACCCCTAAACCCCTAAACCCCGAAACCCCTAAACCCCGAAACCCCTAAACCGTGAACCCCTAAACTCCGAAACCCTAAACCCCCAGGTTCAGGAGTTTACCGGTTCAAGGTTGAAGGTTTCGCTCGAGCGAAGAAAGCCAAGCGGCGAAAGCTTCAGAAACCCTGAAGCGCTAGTTGGAGGGGTGGAGAGTCCCCTTACATGGGTCACAGTTAAAGTTATCCTACCTACAACCCCACTTGGCTTCTTAGGTTTAGGGTTTGTGGATTCAGGTTTCGGATTTCATCCCTTAACCCCCGCAACGCAACGACGAACTGTTGAAAAAAAGGCCCAAGGCTCACCCGCAGCAGGAAGTGGCTCCTGGAAGGCTTGCGAAAATCAAAGGCCCCCCGTGCAAGTCAAATTCTCAAGATCGCCCTATCTCAAACCTAAAATCCTGAACCAGAAACCCTGAGCCTAGATTCATTGAATTGCTCTCTTCAAAATCTCGAAGGAAGAATCAAAAGCGTCAAAATCCACCCAAGCCAACACAAAAATTGACTTGAACGTCTTTTGCACTATACTTGGCATGCTTTTGGACTGCT